GTAAATTCCATCTCCCTCGGACATCCACGGAGGCGAAGGAACACACCAGCTAAATAAACAGCCCGCTCTGCTCCCGAGTGCCTTTTCCATATCGGACAGCCGACTTTCCGAGCCCTATAAATATTATATTAGTACCACATCCCCCGAAAGCCCAAAGGCAGGCTCCCATCCAAGAAGCCACGGAGTTGCTCTCTGGTCTAAATCCGTAACGCAGAAACACAGCTTATTCCATTCCAAGTGGGAAAACTGGCTGGGGAACATAAGTACTAATTTCTGTCAATTAGATTATCTTGAATGGAATATTTAATATTTTTAATGGAACATAATTTAATTGCTGCTCATGGGTACTTTGTAGCTGTCGGAAACTCTGATCTAAATGATTATTTTAATGAAAGATCGCCAAAGGACTCACATTTTAAACTCCTACGTAAGATAACAGGGGGACTATTTTCCCAGGGTGGAAATGGTGCTGGCCAGCCATCATCTCCCAGTTACAGCACTTAGAATAATGCCAGTTAGCCCATCTACAGAACTGCCCAAGCCTCATTGCTGAGGCTGTTCACCGCAAATCCTACCACAGAGCCTCCTCAAAAATTCAGACTGCTTTGGGGTCATGAGCTGACAGGCCCATATGGGGTATATACATATGGGTATGTCCCATAGCACAGTAGCCCCCAGAAAAGGGCTCCTTCATATTTGTGTCAGGACCCTGAGGGCACTGATGGCTTTAATTGCCCTTTAAAAAGCCCCACCGGGGTCCCCACCCACACCTGGAGCCCATCAGCCGGGGCTCCATTTAAGCTCAGCCTTGAGGGCTGTGTCTTTCCCCTGAGCTGTGCTGTAGGTGCAACCTCGTATCTAGTTTGCTCTCCTGGATGGATCAAGGACCTCTATTGCAGGTAGGTCTGTTGCCAGCTCTGTCTCTGGGATGGACCTTGGGTTGATGTAGTAGCCTTGCCTGGTAGCTTGTGCCTGACATACATGAGCTAGTAGAGGCATTAGGTATTGCTGTGCTGGTGGGATGAGGAGGAGCCATTGGTGGTCTTTTTCCACCTGAAGGAACCTGAATTTGGGATGCCGTCCCAGGTTCCAACCAGTTTTTCCTGCTTGAATCACAGTAAGTCAAACTTCCCCCACCAAAAAAAAAAAATCCATAAAGATCCTAAAACTACTTCTAAAGGTCACTTTTCTGCTCCATGCAAGTTGCCAGGTTATGAAGTCTTATCCAAGAAACCCTTCCATCCACACATATGTGTGCCTATAAAGCCTTTAAACCATCATTAGTGTTCCCTTCTCCAAAGGGAGATCTGGAATTTCCAGTGGAAATGCTGATTTTATTTATAGTCTTGGTACACTTTTCAGCCACAATACATAAGTACACAGAGCAAGAGCAGTGCATCGCCATTTGTTTACTGAGTGGCACTGCTTTCCCGTCTGACTGGTGTGGTGAGTCAGGATCGCCGTTGAGCTCAGCCTGTTCTCAGAGGTCCTCTCCAGCCTTTGGGCCAGAGGGAACTTGCCGAGGGTCGGCTGTTTTGGTTTTGGATTATAGGAGATTACTTTACCTGTTGCCTTCTTGATAGCATGGAGGACTCTCCTTCAGATTGCCCTATGCTGCAGTGTCAGCGCAAGCCTTTAAAAAAACCAAGCTGTTGCCTGATCCAGACAGCTGAAACTTATGACCTGGTTTCTCAAAATCATGAGACTGACTTAGAAAATTAGGTATTTTATTTTTTTTAAATGACTGCATGGTCTTTGCATTAAGTTCTGGTTTGGGGAAGTACTAGGGATCCTCCAGTTGCCATTTTCATAATCATAAGGGTGAGCAATGTATTTTTTTGTGATATGAAAGCAGGGGGAAATCCCTTACCTCCAGCAGCTAAGAAAGACACCAAACGTTGTGAGACTGTGGTTTAAAAACAGTGATAGGTGGACAGTTCAAAGTTGCCTTTACTCCAGATTTGCTGGTGTTTTTTGGCAAGCCTAGGTTCCCCAGGCTCTGCACGCCAACATCAGCCGTGTTGGCAGTGCGTGAACTGGCACTGGCTTTCTTGGGATCGGCGAGCCCCCCCAGGGGGGCTGGGGTGCCTTCCTCCCCGCTGCCCTCCGGAGGTGTCCTCTTCTCACTGTCCTCAGCTTCTTGCAGGAGGTCCTTTCTCTAAAAAGGCTACGCTCCTTTACAGACTTGTTCAGGACCCCTGCTCCTTTGCAGCTACCATTCCTGGAATGTGGATCCCTTCTCCTTATTTTCCTGCCCAGGTGGCTGTCCACAGGGATATGGGCTGGATCAGTTTTATAACCATGGGACGCAGACCGGCCTTTCCCCTGCCGCGGCGGCGAGCCTGGCTGTGCGCAGCCCGGCGGGACCGGCGTGGGAGCGAGGACTGTCTGGCTGGGCTGTGGAGGAATGAGCAGTTTATTATTTGTTGCCATTAGATACCGATACCAGAGTACCAACTTTAGCTGAAGCTGTAAGGCTGCCCGGAGCATGGAAGGAGCAGCTCTTAAAGCAATGGGTGGTTTTGTATTTCTCCAGGAAATGTTCGTAGTGATCTTTTGGGTTGCAACACTCCCGACATACCTGTAGTGCCCTCATTTCTGGTGACGCTTACCCCCGGGAGCTGGGAAAACAGGACTCTTACCAAAACTGGAAAAGCAATAATTGGAAAGGATGTTGTGTGCACGGATGTGTTGTATTTCACTAAAAGCAAGGTGTATTTTCTTTAAATTCTTTTTTTGCTGTTGATACACCAAGCTGTTCTGCTGCAAAGCTCAGCCTTGGAAGCAGGGCGCTCGGATGCGCCGGGGATGCGGCATGGCTCGGTTGGTTTGCTGCCCCGGCGGCATGCTCTGTGGAAGCTACCGAGCTGCCCGCACAGGTTTCCTCAAGACCAATGCTCATGACTGCCATCTTAGAAGTATCCAAGAACAGCCCTCGGGCAGTGATGCCCTGCCTAACAGCCCCACCTAACTCCCCCCCTCAACTACAAACTGTGCTTGAAGTAGTTCTGGCACCTGCTGAAACTACAAATGTGTCTTTCCCTGAAACCAGACACCAGTTCATTACCACATCCCAAATTGGCACAGATAAATGCAGCTTCACTGAAGCCAATGAAGCTTCATGGAATTATTCCTGCCCTGGCTCTGAGTCATTAATAGGTATAGTTCTGGCTATTTTTATGCTTTTCAAATTATTTTGTTAGATTACCAAAGCAATTATCAGCCCAAATATGTTATTCCTAGTAAGAAAAAAACCTTTGTGTTACAGTAAACTATTCGGGTGCATTTTTTCCTGTGCTTGTCTTATGTGGACTTAACTGATTGGCAAGTTCAGCTGTGTGAGATTTGGCTTACACAGCCCCATTTCTGGCGCTGTATCAAAGCGGGGGCTATTTGCTGCTCATCTGTGTGTGTACACATATATACACACTGCTATATATCCTGCAGTATGTGTGCGTGTTCATGAAGTAGTTGCTTTTGAACGGTCTGTGCATGTGTAATTGAAATGGAAAATCATGTAGTTAGAATTTTTCTGATGCTTGGACAATCGGACTGTGATAGAAGTGATGGCTGTGGATAGAAGTAGACTGAGCAATTAAAGCTGTAATGTGGACAGTGGAGTCAAAATAGCAGGAGCCAGGACCTTAGGGCCCAAAACTAACAAATTAGGGCTTGCAACTGTGGGACTGTTTTGGAAGTACTGCTTTTGGACATTGTCGGTTAGAAAAATTGACATGGAATAATGCTGACAAGTATCTGTTCCCCCTAAGGAGTACTCACCCAGCAGGGAGTCAGGTGCTTTTATTGTAATATTACTTCTACTGACTCTGGATGGGTTCCTTGGCCTGATACTAAAGCTGTTTGAAGCAGAGGTCTTGAGCAGGAGGGAGTGTGGTATGGGTGCCTGTATTGCAAAGAGCATCCCATGACCTGCAGCAGCAATGCTGCTGCTTTCTAGTTGGTCTGTCATAGGTCTTGCACTGTCTTAGAGACGGGTTTCATGGAGGTGGTGAAGATGGAGTAAGTCTCCCCCATTAAGCTCTTCAGATTTTTTTCTGTTACAAAGCAAAGCCTTGCCTGGTAGACTAAGAACTAACTACTTTAAAATTAGGCCTACTAAGATCATGCCCAGGACTCCTTGTCCCAGTGCTCTGGAGTTAAGTGCCAGACAGTATACATCCCTGTGTGCAAAGTAAGTTAAGCAACAAAAGCAGCTTTGTATCAAAATACTTTATTAAAAACAGTAAGGGACTTCACTGAAGCTTGCTGTCCTGAAGACAGAATTATGACATTATTGCAACATTCAAAACAATCATAATCCACATCAATATAATACTATACAGCTCCTGTTCGCCTTGGCCAAGTTTTGCCTTCAGCCTGGCCTCGTGCAGCGCTGCTGACAGAGCCCAGCCCTGCGTACTTCAGTTGCAGAACCTGTTCCTCTGGGAACAGAGTTATGCCCCTTCCTCACTTCACAGCACTGCTACTGTCTGGAAGTCGCAGAGAAGCCCAGCGCATCTCTTTGTGGCTAGAGGCGGTTTGCAGAACACACCACAGTCACTGATGACAGCAGCACTGGTTGATGTTTAGGAAAAATACATACACAACCGATTACTCAATTTCCCAGCACTGCACAAGTGCACGGAGAAGCTTCTGTTTGCAAGGAGGAAGCTGTGTTCTGACCTGCTGCATCGCCACCTCGGCTGCGACGGAAGGACTCTTACTCGGTACCATCTGGTCTAATGCATGGAGTCACCTTCCACTGCAGCGCTCGCAGAAGCGCATCGCCAGCAGCCAGTCGGCACGCTTCTGCTGTCACCTGAACGCTCTCCAAGGCTGTCACTCTGCCATCAGCTTTGCGCCAAAGTCAGTATTTGTCCTTGCACCGCAGCAAAGAGACTGAGCGCTCCGCACCTCAGCCTGTTGGGTCAGGATGCTGCCCTGAGCTGCGGCTTGCTTCCTCATGAGCCGAGAGGCTTCTCATCGCTCTTCTCCATCACTCATGTACCCTGGGCTGTTCTGGTGATGGGTGTCTTCTTGCACAGCTCCTGGTAGAATTCGGATTCCAAAAACCGTGGGTACGAGTTATTCTCCATTAAGCTGTAAACTCTCTTCTGCGCTGCACTGAAGCAGGTATGCGTGGCTTCCTGAATATTCTGTGCAATCATGTTCTTGGTTTGGAAGTCTATGTTTATCTGAAATTAAAAAAAAACACATTTACTTCTGAACTAAATTTAAGTAAGTATAATACGCCATAAAATTTCTGAAGAGGTAAAAAAGGCAAGCCCCTACTTATTACAGGGTTAAAATAATGAAATTTCCTTTAAGGAAACTTCTTTAATGTAAAAAATTCAGAGACACTATCTTTCAATGCTAAACTCAAATATTTACAGGTGTTAAATGCAGCTGTTGACTGTTTCCAGCTAAGACAGAAACTCTGAAATACTGCTTGTGTCCCTTTCCAGCACAGTGAAAAGGCAGTTAGGGAGTGAGTTAGGTTCTGACACAGATAATGAGGCACATACAATGCAGTTTGGCATCTGTATCTTAAAGTAAGTTCAGAGAAATAAAGAAAGGCTGTAAGAACTTGTAGAACAGAGCACCTATGCTTAAATAGGTTTTCTTTACCTCTTTGGGAGCCTCCTTTTCAATGAAGTCATTGTAGATTTTTTTTGCTTTCAATGTCAGCTTCTGGGGTGACTTGGTTTTCTTGAAGTCCTCACAGGCCAACCAGAACTCAATGTTCTCTTCGCAGTACTCAGACTTCAGAAAAGCTCGGAAAGCAGCAAGACCATCTAGGGCAAGAAAAATACATGTCAATTAACTATTTCAGGAATCTTGACTTTACCCATTGGTCACATCTGTTTCTACCAAAACATTTTGCTGTAGTTCTGGTCTGGTTCTTTCAGGGACATAATAGCAATAAAAATTTCCACATTTATGTATGCAAACAAAATGCTCTGACAGCTTGGCAGGCTTCACTTCAAGTTAAATTTTTTTAGGCTTTCTAGTTGGTATGTTCCCTCTTGTGATGCCTGCATATACATTAAATAAAACCCTCTCTCTAGATGGGATCTCCCGTGTTAACCTTCACACTGGCATAAATATTTGACTGCTACAAACCTCTAGAATATATTTTGCAATGGAAAGGATGACAAGTGCAAAGAGCAAACAGTAATATCA